GATAGGTCAAATTTTGGCTGATTTAGGCTGATTTTAGGCCAATTTTCGCATGTCCAATTTTTTGATTTCGACAGTGTTAGAATGTTTAGCAATAAAAGCAGGTGAAACTAGTGAGCTTTTTTCAAAAAAATGAAAACTTGATTACCAACTATTTCAGTCAATTCAAATAAAACTTTCTGATTATATTAAAAATACTAAACTTATACCTGAACATACTAAAGAGATAACTCGCGTATTATTAAAAGCATTTATTATTTTTGGAATTTCTTTTCACATTATTGAAAATCCATTCTTTATTGAACTGTTAAAAACTTTGCATCTGGCATATGAATTTCCATCAAAAAATATTCTTTTTAGATGACATTTAACGCAAGAAACAGCATTTATTAATCAAGAAATCATTAAACAATTAAAAAATTCTGAGAATCTAACATTAAGTAAGTTTTTTTTTATTTTTTATTTTTATATTTTTATAAAATTAAATTCTAAAAATTATAATTAATTAATTATTTAGCTTGAGATGAATGGAATAATTCTTCTAATAAATCAATTTGAAATTTTATTTTACATACACCTGATCATCATCAATATTTATGGAGTTTTTGAAACTTATCTAATAAAAGGCATACTAAAGAACTATTGACAGAAAAAATAGATTTAGTTTAAAAAATGTTGAATCAGAAAAAATATCTGCTATTGTAACCACTAGTTGAAATGATCCATTTCAGCCAGAATTAGAATTGCCGATTTTAGGTTTAATTTTAACCTAAATTTAGCTTTTTTTATTTAAATGTTAGGTAGTTGACTGGCATCTTTAGTTATATCTTTCAGTTATCTTTAGACTTGAGATTCAGGTAATAAATAACTATAATTCAGATATAAACATTGACTAACTTTTAATTATATGTAGATAAAAAATTAGCTGAAATTTTATGTCGAATTTCATACGAATTCAATTGTATTTTTTGTTGTATTTTAACTTAATTTGTAAAATTTATTATTAATAAAAACGCAAATATAAAAATAATATATAAAAGTACAAAGACCGCAAATATTATATAAGAATCCTACAAGAAAAGCAAATATTATATAAAAAGCAATATGTGAAAATATTAAAAGTTTATCTAGAATTATACATCTTTATCATCAGTAAAATATTATGGGATGTTATCGTAATTGTCATCGCCTTGTAGAGTGTCATCATATTGTAGAACGTCTTCATTTTGTTCATTTTGTAAAATTACTCCTTTTATCATACCGGTTGTTGAAGATTCACTAAATATATGTTCTTCTTCAGTTCTATAATCAAGCAAATAATCATAACTGTCAGTAGTTTTTTGTCATATAATTTCATCTTGTGGAGATGCTTGTTATCTATAAGCCTATTTTGACGCATTTTTTAGCGATAATACGTTTTTGCAGAAACAAATATCATCATAAATCTGAGGTCTCGTTAGCTGAGCTAATTGTTGTAATAATGCATGCTTTTCGAAAACATTTCATAAAAGATTCTTAAACTGAAATTATATGAAAAAAATTAAAATTAAATGAATTATTATTAGTACTTGAAAAAGCAAATACACTAAGAATGATAACAATTATTAAACCTCATTTGAACGCCAGAAATAATCATATACGACTATCTGGTATTTTCCTTCATCATTTTTCTGATCTGTTTCTGATTCCTCAGATGAATGGTATTCTGAAATCCTAAGCAATTTCATAATTTAGTCTTTATTATACTTTGAGACTTGAGGATCTTTCACATTGAATAAAACCAATACACCTCTTATTCATTGATCTCTTTTCTATATATATAAAAAATATTAGATATAAATATTAAAAATTATAAAAACTAACAAATTTTATGCCTCTGCTACGTGATTATTATTGTGTACTCACCTGTTAGATCAATCTTGAGTTCCTTTTTGGCTTAGCATATAGCTGTCTCTTTGATGCTTATATAATGTACAGAACTACTTCTTCAATTGATTATATAAAGGGTTGTATCGAGATCGTAATGATCTTAATATTTCTGGTACTAATTGTTGCCAGATTCTTTTATTGTCTGAGCTATTAAATACTTGATCATATTTCATTTCGAAGTTATTTGGTAAAGTTTTTAATATCTCCTTCATTTCTGCCTGTTTATAAAAACAAATATTTGGATAAAGATTAAAATTTAAATTATCATAATAAATAAATAAAATTACAAACTCGCGCTATTTCGTCATCTGATTCTTGGGCTTTGATTAATGAAGCTTTGTTTTTGCCTCTTAATTTTGATATAACTTTTACCCTTTTTCTTGGCTGAGAGGAACGATCATCATCAGCTAATATATCATCATCCTCATCAATTAATTGTTATTCAATTTGTATCGATCAAATTCTATTTTTATCTCATCCTTAAATTTTAAAAGTTCTTTATTAACAAATATAAGAGCTTCATTTTCTACTCTTAATCATTATATTTCCATATTTAGATGATCTACATCATCACGAACACTTTTAATCTGCTTGATAATAATACCATGCTGTTTTTGCCAAAAGTGAGTTTTCTTTTTCCACCGTTCAACTTCTTCTCTTGATCTTGTAATTTCTAGACAAACTAGTAGATTAAATTAATGATAAAATGATATGATGATGTAACAAGCCAAATGATATACCTTCGTGAGGATAATCGATAAGTTCCATAAGCGTATTTCTAGTTATATTATAAACAGGCACATTACTTTTATTATCATCGATTATTTTGGTAAAATCTGATGCCCAAAGCATGCACTCTCCCTTTGAGATTTTTGACAGTCTCTAGCATTGATTGATTAGTATTAACTGTATTTCGTTGATTATTACCTTTTAAAGTTAGGATATAATGACTTGTATTTTGTTGTGAATCTGAAGTACCTGAAGCTGGTGAGATATGAAAAGTGTTTGTTGTATTATTTTGTGAGGCTGAAGTAGTACAAAGAGTTTTTGTTATATTATTTTGTGAGGCTAGAATGTTTAAAATTGGCTGTGTATTTTGTTGTGAGACTAGGGAGTCGTTATTCTTTAAGATTGAAGCATGACAATGCATATCTTATTACGAGGCTGAAATGTTTGATATTGATAAAATACGAAAGGTATTTGTTGTATTAGTTTGCTGTAAGGTAGGAGAAAAGTTATTGTTATTATAACATATTGTTTTTTGACGAGTTATTGTTTCTATTGTTATTGTATTATAGAAATTGAAAATACACGAAAAAAGATAATTTGAGTATAAATCAGAAAACGATTCTTTTTATATAAAAAATTTAAACTTTCAGTAAGCTTTAGTAATAAAATAAATTTCAAATTTTATTATACTTAAAACAAAATATAATTAAAAATTAACTTATGTATCTTCTTATCTACAAAATCGAATTGTCTTGACACTAGTCGAAATAATCCAAATCAGCTAAAAATCAGATGGCTGATTTTAAGCTGATTTTGATACTATTTATGGCCAATTTGCCATGTTTTCTGATCGGTACAAACAGGTGTTGATAGACGCCGATCGACCCCAATCAGACATGGTCATTCAGCATCAATTTAAAACTTAAATTCAACCATAAATCAGCCTCAAACTGGCCTCAATTTGGCAACAATTCAGACGTCAATAGATGCCGATCGACTCCAATCAGACATAACCATTCAGATTAAATTCAACCATAAATCAGCCTAAAATTGATCTTAATTCAGCATCATTCAGCATTAATTCAAAACT